TGAACTGAACTGATTAGATGACAAAAGCTGATAGTAAAACAGAACGTAGGGCTAACTTATGTTAGCACATTTATAAGTGTGTATTTATGTACAAGAAAAACCTGATATTAGGCATTCTAAAATATTATGTTATTTTGAGAAGAATTGTGAGTGATTTGGATTTTCTGTGTACATGTTTATGCTTTTTCATAATTTTCTGCCGTAAATATCCCTCTCCTTCATTAGCAGGGAAAATAGCAGTCTTACCAACCTTAAGTAGTTTACATTAAAAAGTAAATAAATGACACTTGAGTGCCAACATGGGGCTGTCTCATAAATCCGAGGTGACCCTCTAAACATCTATAAGTAAAGGGTCAGACTAGTGTTCTCCATTCTAGGGCATATTTGCTCAGGCAGCACTGTCTACCGTTTTTGCAATGACATTTGTACTTTATATATATACATATATATAATTTTATTTATTTATTTATTTTTTTGCTGTACTGTGTCTTTGTTGCTGCATTTGCTTTTCTCTAGTTGTGGCAAGTGGGGGCTACTCCTCGTTGCAGTGTGCAGGCTTCTCACCAAGGGGGCTTCTCCTGTTGCAGAGCCCAGGCTCTAGGGCGTGTGGACTTCAGTAGCTGTAGCATGCAGGCTCAATAGTTGCGGCTCCCAGGCTCCAGAGCACAGGCTCAATAGCTGCGGTGCACAGGCTTAGTTGCTCAGAAGCATGTGGGATCTTCCCAGATTAGGGATGGAACCTGTGTCTCCTGCACTGGATTCTTTACCACTGAGCCTCCAGGGAAGCCCCCACATTTATACTTTGTAACGGAGTAAACCAAACCAGGTCTCAGAGTTGGTTAATGACTGCTTGGACTAGGCCCTAGGTCTCCTGTTCTTGAGATCCACAGCTATTTCCACCACACTGTCCTCTGCCTCCCAGCAACATCATTAGAATGAATCTGTCATCAAGAGAAAGTCATTCAATCCATTCGGAGTGTTCATCAGTTCCTTAAAATAACTTGGCAGCTCCAAGGCTTACTGTTTGAAGACTTAAAACCAAAACAGCACCCTGAATTTAAAATGTGAAGAAACACACAGAGGATTTAAAATGTTTGCACTCTCACCATTCCCTTTCAGATTTATGTAACAGAATTCAAAGTGTGCGAACACTTAGAGTCACTTCTACACGTAAGGCAGAGTGAAACTATCCCAAAGGCGAGGTTGGCAGTGAACACTCCCTCAACTTTCAATTTTGCCCTATTCTCATCCTCCAAAGTGACCTTGTTCTTTCTATTTTCTGGATGCTTGATGTAAAAGAGGCATTATGACTTTCATGATTGAATAACAGTTACAAATTTCCATTTCACTTTTCTTACCAGCTTAGATGTGGTTTAATGCAGCGTGCTAGAATTCTCCCAGAGGTGGATCTGAGCTGAACTGACTAGGTTTCTGACTGCCAACTCTTCTGCACACAAAAATAGCAGCATAACCTATTACACACATTTGTTATCTGTTACTAAGAGAAAATTACCAACCCACCCAGAGAAACAGAAATACATCTGATCATGGGACTTCTCCAAAGGCCAGAAAACCTGTTAGTTTTACATCAAAGGGCTTACACAGACTCTCAGAAAAAGGTAAACGTTTCCAAACAATCAAAAGATTTCAAGGAGGCCATATTTTTGTTTTCCAAATTAAAAAGAAAAGTGCCTGGCCTAAATACTTTACAAGTGGTTAGTGCTAACTAAGAATGCATTTTCTTTCACCAAGCTTGCAAGTAGATGTCTTTAAGACAGCAGTTCTCTTCGGTAGATATTTCTTCAGTGTTTATGTATGTCGAACCCTGGGGATGGACATGATTGTGGATGTACTCAGTCGTGTCTAGACTCTCTGCGACCCCATGGACGATAGCCCGTCAGGCTCCTCTGTCCATGGGATTCTCTAGGCAAGAAATCTGGAGTGGGTTGCCATTTCCTTCTCCAGGGGATCTTCCCGACCCAGGGGTCACACTGGCAGGTGGATTCTTTACCATTGCACTACCTGGGAAGCCCCATGTAGAACCCTGCAGGGGGACTTAATTGACCTACAGGAGATCCAGTAACATCTAAGCGACCAATCCTGCCTGGAGAAGACTTACTGTCCAGAGCAATACTACTTCTAAAGTAGGCATCTCCCTAAACCAGAGTAGTATAATGCTTCTCTCCCTTCATGAAATATCATTACTCTCTTTTCTCAACATTCTTCATAGGAGTCGATTTCCATGATTAATTTAAGAGGAAGAGGGAGCAGAGTGGGGCGGGGCTGAAATAGATAAATGAATGTGAAACTTGTAACTTTGATTTTGACCTTTAATAGTCAAATAAAGGTTTTTAACAAAGTGGACAATAACTCACTGTAAGTAATAAAGTCATATCAATCTTGCCATGGAGTAGGAACCAAGAATACAGGGCCATACACATGTAGTCGCTGGGATATGACAAGCTTGGAACCTATTTATAACTTTTAAAGTATTTTATGACTCTTTCTTTCCAAAGAAGCACACATCACATTGCATGAGGTCTGTGAATATACAAGTGTTCTTCTCTGCCAAAGGCAGCTGAGAAAGCAAAAGGATTATCCAAGTATTGTTTTTCAAACCTGAATCTATGAAGGGTAATTATACAGAAATATTTGGCACTTAGTAACCTTGAAACTTTGAATTCAGGAAGATTTTCTGTCCCCAGGGCTACATGGTCTGATGGCGCAGGTTCATAAATCCAACGAGAATGGATCTGGCTATTGTAACTCTACCCACCTTTGTGCAGTTGTCAAACAAACCCAGTGTCCATAAAGCCTCACCCTAGCCCAGTGCCTGCCTTTGGGGGGCGCCTGATGTTTTGTCAAGCAGAACCCAGTATGAATATGGCTGCTTTTTAAATTGGTTTAGAATACATGTATATGTATGGCTGAGTCCCTTTGCTGCTCACCTGAAACTATCACAACATGCTTAATCAGCTATACCCCAGTACAAAATTAAAAAAAATTTTTTTTAATAAACTGGTTTGGAAAATAAGGAATCTCCATTCTGCTTAATCTTTGTTTTCAGTGAATCACATAACACTAGATTATTAGTAATGCTTCCATTAACTCTGGAGTTCAAAATCAGGGGTATCCAGGTAATATTTAATACAAAATGAAGGAAGTTTCAAACCAAACTATCAAATACTGTTGGACTGAAAAAATAAAAGCAACACCAGGCAGGGGTTACATGGGCTAGGAAGAGGGTGGCTGAATTATTTCCTTTGGGACAATTGCAAGGGAAGCATCTTATTTCCAGAAGCCGAGTTCTGTATACAGTTATCCCAGTGTAGGATCGGAATTTCCTTGTAGACTTCACCACTTTACCTAGTGAACATCAGAGCTGCTGGCTACCCTCCCAGACACACTTCTTCTCTTATCACAGTCCTTCTGGGGTAAGTTCCCTGTCTGGGTAGGAAGAAAAGTGAGACGGCCAAAGCCAGTCTGTTCTGTAAGTAACTTCCCTTCACAAAAGATGTCTTGCCTGAGCGTCTGGGCTTCTCTGGTGGCTCAGACCATAAAGAATCTGCCTGCAACGTAGGAGACCCAGGTTCGATTCCTGGATGGGGACGATCCCCTGGAGAGGGGAATGGCTACTCGCTCCAGTATTCTTGCCTGGAGAATTCCACAGACAGAGGAGCCTGGTGGACTACAGTTCATGGGGATGCAAAGAGTCGGACTAGACTGAGTGGCTAACACATGGAAGTACAGTAATTCTTAAGTGGCACCACAGGATAGATGTCCTATATTAAAAAACATGCCTCTTCTCTTTCACAGTCTGCTTTGTTTTTCTAATTTTTAAAAATCATCTTTATCGTACCAGTACACACAGTTCCTTTTAAACCTGTATTTTGCTTCAGCAATGAGGAGAGGATGTTGTTTACAATTTGACTTTCTGGTTCTCATGCGCCTGTAAAATATTTTTCTTCAATTGGTTTTAAAAGCTTTTTTTTTCCCAAGAAACTTTGGATTCTTTCTTTTACTGGGGGTTCAAACTTAAAGTAACTGATGACCTCCAAAGGCCAACCTCATGCAGATGTCAGCAAGATGAAAAACAGAACTTAACATTTTGCACAACAATATTTGCATTCCTATTAGCTTTTGCAAATGCAGTACATCTCATCCTCTTGGGCTGACTGCAAAGGTGCCCTGGCAAGAGGAACAGGACTATGTGACTCTAATAGGTTAACATACTGAACTGAGCTGCTTTAAAGGGAATAAATGCTGTGGCCTAGGGGCAATTACTGGGTGGACTTCAGTGAACACTCTTGGAAGTGACTTAACAGCAAACTGTGTGTCAAGAGGGGGCAGGGAGACACATTCTGCTCCCGTTAAATATCTTCATCAAAACCTCAAACACGATCATGATTTTACAGCCTAATTGAATGTAATCTTGATTTTAAAAAGAAGCTGCAAAAAGTCGATACAAAAAAATAAATATATAGGAGCTGCACTCAAGTCTGTATTTCCACAAATGCTTTAAAGGTTTGCTGTGTAGAAACCAGTGATTATGTAACAAGTCGATTTCAAAGATTACATCTCTTACAGTTACATCCTGATAAAACAGTTGAGATCAAGTCACTAAACATTCTTGCAATTCAAATAGAAGAAAATAGATTAACTCTTTGCTTGGGAGGGTCGGGGTGCGGGGGAGAGGATATATGATGAGAAATCTGTACCAATCTTCCTGAACAGTTAGGGAGGAATAAGTTAAGGAGGAAGCACAAATTTGGTGACTGTGAGGTGAAGCACTAATTTATGGTCCTTTGAAGGCGGTGTCTGACAGACAGGTGTCTGCCGTTGCTTAGCTTGGCTGGGCGGTGAGCAATGAAAGCTAGTGGCTCCCCCGGCACAGCCGAGGGCCAGAGTTTTTTTTTCCTCCTGGTGCTATCTCGCTGGTTGTCCCCAGCACTGGCTCTTTGGGTCAAGGGAAGTTGAGGGCCTTCCTTGTTGCCCTCCAGACCCCAGAGCATCCAATTCCGGGTATCGTCTGCAGAGCTCGAGGGCCCCGGCGCCCAGGGTGGAGAACTGGCCTTCCAGCGAAACCGCCCCAGGCCTCCGGCCCCCCAGCTCGTCTGTCCGGGTCTCCGGCCCTGTCGCCGAGGCCGAGCGCACAGAGCTCGCGTCGCCGTTTTGGAAAGCGACGCAGCTCCCTGCTCCGGCGCGCTCCCCGCGCCCCGGGTCCCGGCTGAGGCCGCGCCGAGTCCCTGGGACTTTGACGGGTTAGGACAGGCGACGCCGAGGGCCAGGCGGCCTCCAGCCGTCCCCAGCCCTGCCCCAGCGCCGGTTCCAGCGCCGCGCCGGCAGAGAAGCAGCTGTTCCCAACAGCTGGGGGGCGGCGGCGCCGGGCGCCCCAGGTGCGGCCGCGGCCAATCGCAGGCGTCCGGCCCGCCCCCTCCCCAGCCGGGCGCCGACCCCCGGCCCGCGGGGGGAAGGGAGCAGAGAGGTGGAGAGCCGTCCTCGCCACTTGTCTTCCAGCTTCCGCGGCGGGAGGGACAGGACCCGGAGCCGAAGCCGCGCGGAGTCTCCCCCACACCGACCCCCCCCGCACCCCAATACCCGGGGCCCCGCCACCGCCGCTGCGCCCCCCGCCAGCCCACCTCCGCGCCTGGACGCTCTCACTGCCGACCCTCCCCAGGCCCCACCCGAGACACCTACCTAATTTCTGCGAAAGAAAAAAAAATCTACCTCTAAACGCACCCCGATCTTCGCTTGAGGACCACCTCTTTCATTTCACATTTTGGCCTCCCCGCCGGGTGAGTGGAAAGCGTTTGCACATCCTACAGAACCGGAGCCTCAGCCAGACGATCCGGAGGATTTGTACCGTGACCGGCAGGGGGGGCGGGAGGAGAGAGCGAAGTCAGGTCTCCCCGGGCGGCTGCTGGCGACTTCGGCAGCCGCGCGCCCCGCGCCCTCGGTCGCCCCCGGGCCGCTCGCCCCCGCCGCCGCGCCGCCACCCTCGCCCCTGGGCTCGCCCGTAGCCCCCGGTGGCCGCGAGAGGGTGCGGGAGACGCGGAGCCGGAGAAGGACGCGTAGCCGCTGCCCGAGCCGCAGCCGCAGCCGCAGCCGGAGCCCCAGCCGCGGGGCGGGCGCGAAGATGCACACCACCCAGAAGGACACGACGTACACCAAAATCTTCGTCGGGGGGCTGCCCTACCACACCACGGACGCCAGCCTGCGCAAGTATTTCGAGGTCTTCGGCGAGATCGAGGAGGCTGTGGTCATCACCGACCGGCAGACGGGCAAGTCCCGGGGCTATGGATTTGTAAGTTGCGCGGATGCGGGGGGCGGGGGGTGGGGGGAGCGGGGGTGGCGTGTATTGAGGGGGCGACCGAGAGCCTGGAGGGGAAACTGAGGACCGCGGGGGCGGGGAGAGAACGGAGTGGCGCTGGGTCGGAGGGGTTGGAGTTTGGAGTGAGGGGCTCGGCGCGCCGGTGCGAGGACCCCTGCGAACTGGAGCGCCGCTGCCCCTTCGCTCCCCCGGCTGAACTGAAAGTTTGCGCGCCGTGGCACTGGGGACCGAGGGCCGGCGCCTGCCTCGCGGGGTTCCGAGGGGACCGAGAGCGCGGCGGCGGGGTCGGGGTCAGGCGGAGCAGGGGTGGAGGGGAGGGAGAGAACTGTGATGTCTGCGGGATTTGGGGGGGTGCGGAGATCTGGGAGGGAGGGGCCGCAGCCCCTGGGAATAATTGCACTGCAGGGTTGGAGGCTGGTGGTTAAGCGCGCTGTTTGCTTTGTAAAAATGAGTGCGTCTTCCTGGCGTTCCGGCTGGGGCAGGGAGGGGACACTCCAGGGGGTCTGGGGCTCTACTTCTTAGGCCACCCCCCTCACCACCCCCACCACCCCCCTTTTTTTTTTTCGTAATTGCAAAGATGACTTCTTTTAAAAGATGAGCCTCTGGCTTTTTGCCAAACTGAAAGAGAGCATAGTTAAGCTTCCCGGAGATTTCAGCGTGCGAATTCAGCTGCCGAGGAGCAGGAGCCCCATCGCAGGACAATAGCTATTGTGGTTGAGGAGTGTTTGCGGGGTTGGGAACGCCGGGCGGACGCGAGGCCAGTCTTTCTTGAAAGCAAACCGTGGCCTCCGGGCCGGGTAGGGACACGGGGAATGGCCGGGGGAAGGGGAATCTGGAGGAGTTCTGAGACGGAATTCTGGCTTCCGAGTCTCTGTTAGGCCCTACCAGCACCCTTAGAACTTTAGAGGTGGGGGGAGGCGGTGGTTCTTTCTTTACACCTTTCTGTATTCTTATTTTTGTGTGTTTTGGATGGAGGGTCAAGGATAATTCTAGTTTCCTCTCCCCCTACAACCCCCACTGCCAGGAAAAAAAGAAAAGTTAATGAACCAGCGTAGTTTTACTAACACTAATAACCTCTCCATGCACTTCTTGGTTTCTTCGGAGGTTGATTTAGAGCTCTGTGTGTATGTCTGTGTGTATGTTGCTAAGGTCACCATGGCTGACCGGGCTGCTGCTGAAAGAGCTTGCAAGGATCCCAACCCCATCATTGATGGCAGGAAGGCCAACGTGAACCTGGCATACTTGGGAGCAAAACCAAGGATCATGCAACCAGGTGAGAAAGATCCCTGGAACCACCTCCACCGCCCCCTCCCCCTCCATAGAGACCCCCACTTCTGAATAGGGTGAATCCCTGATTGAGAAGACCCTAGTTCCCTGAGCATCTGTAGATGTGTTGAGTAAAGTTGAACTGTGGCTGGTTATTCTACCAAGACATGAAAAATAGATGAGAGTTGAAAAGACTCCTTTCTTGACTTGAAATGTACCTGTGGGCAAAAAATAGATCTTGGGGTTGGGTTCAGTTTGTACACACCCAGACTTGGGCTTGACTCCCCTGTTTTCTGTATACATAGTTCAATCTCCATTTTCTTCTTCTTGGCCACTTGTTGGCCATTCCAGTGTGGATGACATGGGTCAGATTTGTCAACTCCAGCTGGTTATACTTCTCTACATGGTGGTGTTTCTTCTTTGGCCACCAGTTGCCCTGTGCTCAGAGCGGGCAGTTCAACCAGAACACTGACCCAAAAGAAACATAGGGGGCTGGTGGTGCCCAGATGGTAAATGTTTAAAATAAAATCACAGCATATTTGTAATGATAGAAAATAAAGAGATTCCATGCACTTCAGGACCCTTACGTTACAGATGAAGATACTGATGCACAGATGAGAAATGGTTTACTCCAAAGTCATACAGCTGTTAGTCACCAAAAGGGAGAGAATTTCATCTATGTGAAAACATGACCTTTTGGATTACTTACTACACTGTCTTTTGCATTTGCACAAGTAATTGTGAATCAACTATTCAACAAACGTAATCTTTTTCTTGGGCATGCAACTTTAAATATTTTCTCTTCATTCTTAAGTCTGTCCATCTGAAATTTTGGAAAGAGGTAGACATTTCTATCCAAACAGATTTGCTAGGAAAGTAGATTGTCAAGAAAGGGTGTGCATGTGCAAATATTCATGAGCATTAAAAAAACATGTATTTATCTAATACAGTGTGTGTGTTTTGCTGTCCAGAAAAGAGTCTGTTTTGTAAATGTTTAATACTATAATCTGTAAAAGCCATAATCTTCCAAAGCATTGTCCAAAACATTCCAGAATGTCCCAAATTAAAAAGACTTTTTTATAGATCATGATTCAGAATTGTTGGAAGATCTGCCACGTGTAACTTCATTATCAAGTCCTGTTGTTCTTGGTTTCTTTCCATAAGAACGTTTTATGTCTGATTTTCTAAGGTCTTACTCTGTGTCTGTCAACTAAACTTTGAGGATCATTTCTAGTTTCCACTTGAAGCCTATTGAAAATTTTATTTAACTTAACAATAACATTAGTAAAATGACTTAAAAACCTATTTATAATATTTTCTCTAAAGTATTAAAAGAATGATTACCTTTTCTAAGTGAAAGGTGTGATTGCATTTTATTTGTAAAAGTAATAAATGCCTAACATGCACAAATAAGAGAATGTGGTATGTTTTATTGTTAGGTTTTGCCTTTGGTGTTCAACAGCTTCATCCAGCCCTTATACAAAGACCTTTTGGGTAAGTCAATGAATCAGGCCTTCCTAAGTTTCAATATGACTATCATTTGTTAACCTGTCTTTTTGTTATATCCGGACTAGACCATCATGTTATAGACTATTCCTGTTTTACATATTTATATATGTTTGTGTATTTTGAATGCTGATAATGTAAATATTTTTAGATGAGTCAAGTTATCTGACCAAGTATGCAGCCTCCCAACCAGACCCATTTTGAGCTTATGATTAACAAAACAAAACAAAAATACCAGGTATGACTTGTGTACAGACGATTGTGTCCCAACACCATGACTGCTGTTCAACTTGACTCAATTGTATTTATCTCTTTCTAACCTGACAGGGCTCGTATACTGTTAAGCTAACTGATCAGAAGGATACCATGATAAGAGGTGGAATAGTTCTGTTTGGAATTAAACTCTGTAACCAGTAGACTCAGACACACAAGCTCAGATGGTGATTAACGATGCATGGATGTTGGTGTTGTTTTATTTTTTCACCATAGTCAATAGACCTCCGTGTGCTTTATTTTATTACAGTCATGAAGTGGTGTTGATAGCTAAACTGTGTGCTTTTTTTACTTAATTGAAAAGAGCTGTAGTGAAAGTGTTTTCTTTTCCTCGGGGAAGGGGCTCTTTGTGTTTTTGGTTTTGGTGGTGGTGTTGACGGGTGTTGACTTTTGACTTTGCCATGGGAAGCAAAGGGCCTTTTTTTATTTCCTTGCTTTTAAGCTGTAGCCTGTAACTTCCACTTAACCATATTTTTGTAGTGAGTGCTAAATGGTGTGATTTCCCTCTGTAAGAACACAGATTCATCGCTTGCATGTCCTAAGTTTCTGTTTTACTGGGGCGTTTTTCTGGGGATGGGGTTCTTTCTTTGGCAGTGTGTATCCAGTTTTAGGCCTTCTAATTTAAAGGTTCAACAACTCTCATCAGATTTCATTAACACTGGCCAGTTTTTTTGAGCAGAGTACCACTAACCTTCACCTTTCAGATCTGACTCGGGTGAACAGCCGGCTTATATTTGTGTTCTCTGGGTTCTGTGATTACGAGCCTTCCCTGTCCAAGCTCCCCAACTTCCCTTCCATTCAGACACTATATGGGGGAAAAAACATCTCCAAGCACCTCAATTTATTCTGAACACCTAGGGTCTGTTTTCTGCCTGATTCACTTGGCTGTAACTAATGCCAGAAATTTACACTCTCCTTTTGAATATTCTAACTGTTTAGAAGTGTTTCATTCTCAACAATATTAATAGTTTCTTCTGCATCTTTGCACCTGAACCTACATGTGTAACCTGAAAGGTTAGATTCTATCTGCCAAGATAGATATATACCAAGAGTAGATCCAAAGAAGCAATAATAATTTGACTTGGAAGATTCAAGTTATATTTTCCGTGAATACCTTCTTTATAACCTTCCCTTAACCATATCAAGATTCTCACTCTTACTGCCAACCCTTATTTTTTTTTAAACCATAGAAGAATTTTCTGTCCAATAAGATTAGAAAGGGCCTTCGTGTATCCATAATGACACCCCATCCAAACCATTCTGGATATGACAACAAATAGTAGTTGATGGGTCCAACTACTTCTGGGGATGCCCCCTCTCATTGGTCTAGACCATGTTTAAGGTAGAACTGGGGAGAACATACATCTTAAGAAGTGACGGTGAACTTAAATCATGGTTTCACATTACTAATCCCGAGACAGCTGTTATACAGCTAAATTGATCAACCGGTATTAGCATGTGTGTATTTTTCTCGGTGCTAGTGGATGGTACAAAATAAGGAGACTGCATTTTGGTTTGGGAAATGAAACTAACACAAATCCATCAGGAACTATTCATTGCTAAATTGCTTGGTATTATTTGAAGTACAAGAGGAATTCTGAATAGCAAGAAAATAGATGAGTCGGAGGAGTTGGACAAAGCTTTGTGGGGACTGGAATAAGACTTGGACCAGTGGTATGTCTGGACAGGTGAAAGGAAAAAAGGGACCTGTCTAAAGGGTATAGGATAGGGGAATATCAGCAAAGGCACAAAGGAGAAAAGACTCAGTGCATGGAGAAATGAGACGTCTATGGAGGGTCTTGAGAGGTAGACACAGAAATTTGAACTGGCTGTGATAGTCCTGTGGATCCATGAGAAAGAAAGCAGTATATGGGAAAAAAGAACAAACAGAATGTGTCATGTGGAAGTTTTAAATCAAGTATATTTGGATAGTAACCTTTAGTTGTTCATCCCTTCTAATAGCAGCTGTCTTTATAAAGGATGGTGATTATTACTATTTGGATAAATTGAACTTGAGGTTCTTATTAGAAATAGATAGCATTCCAGATAGACCAAGCAAGGCTTCTCTTTCTTTTTAGGGGTTCTTAACACTGCTCTAATTTCCAGAGTCTGTACCTAACAAATCACACCTGGTCATCCTCAATTCTATTTGAATGCCACATGTTCTTATTTTTAGGCCTGGAAAGAAGTTTGAGAATTTTTAATCTTGACTTGTTTGAAATTCTAGAACTATTTTTTATATGGTCTTTAAATGACCCCTACATTACTCTAGGCTTTTAAAGAAAAAATCTTGGCCTGAAGGAATTTCCAATGTAACACAGTGGGCAGATGTATAGAAATTGGTGGATTTGCCAAACCACATCTTATAAATATTTTATATTTGAAAGAATCATTTTCTTACTGAAATCTTGGAGAGGAGAGATTATGGATTTGTGAGTAGAAAATTCCAGGCTAGTTTAGACCAGGTTGAAATACACTTAAATATTTACTCAGTATTCCTTTAAGTGCTAAGTTTTATTCTAGTTGTGTTAATGCATAATAAGTATTACACTGTCTGCTAAGTGGGGCAGGAAGGACAGTTAACCAAACATCTGCTACTTGCCTGGTACTGATAAAGGATTTACATAAATCATGTAATTTAATTATCACAGTAATTATCTGATAAAGACACTGTTAACGTCCTTTCCATGGGTGAAAAACTGAGATGCAGAGAGGTTAATTAACTTCCCACAATGGCTACTACGGGCTAGAGTCTGATTCTAGGTTCAGAATCACAGTTTGCATGACTTCCAAAGCCATATTCTTTCCTCTGTGTCAGTCGCTAGCCCCAAAGACACAACTGTGCTCTCTTATAATCTAGTAAGAGAACTGAGAAGCATGCGGAAGGGCTGTCCATATCGTTTCAGATAAGGGAGAGAAACATCAGGTCGGTGAGATCCAGGAAGTCTTCATGAAAGAGGTAGAATCTGAAATAGATTTTAAAACATGATGGAGGCTAGGGAACTCTTGTAGTGAGTATATTTCTCACTGTAGGCTCTTCACACTGATAATTTTATTTAACGCACAGCAGTTCAGGGTTGGAACTATTAGGTTCATTTCACTTATCAGAAATATGGGAGGCTAAAAAGGCGAAGCAAATTCTTGAAGGTTTTAGACATGACGTGTGATAGAGCTAGGATGAGTAGGACTGGGACTGCAACAGATAGAGATGGAGTGAGGGCTGGCGTCCCTGGCCAGGGGATGTCATGAGCCAAGGTGAAGCTCTAGGTGTCTGTGGTGTGCCCAAGAAATCTTGAGGAGCCTAGCTGAGCTGGATTCAAGGAAAGGTGGGAAGAAATACTGGAAGAAGTATTTTGGAGCCAGAGTATAAAAGACCTGTCATGCCAAAGTTTAATTAAGAAGTTTGCACTTAGCTTGGTAGGATGTTAGGGACCTGGGTTATTTTAAACAGGTGAATGAGATGCAGACTGTGTCAGCAGTGTATGTGATAGGTTGGAAGAAGAAACCCTTTAGGATGTCCAAAGTCACAGAGAGACACCAGAGGGACTTGAAGAGATAGGAAGAAAAGAAAAACATAGTAAATTTTTTTTGAAAATTGTCCAAGGTGTCAGCTTTGCTCTTCGCTTTTATTACTACTGTGCTGTGCTTAGTCGCTCAGTTGTGTCCGACTGTTTGCAACCCCATGGACTGTAGCCCACTAGGCTCCTCTGTCCATGGGATTCTCCAGGCAAGAATACTGGAGTGGGTTGCCATGCCTTACTCCAGTGGATCTTCCTAAGCCAGGGATCGAATCCAGGTCCCCCTCATTGCAGCAGTTTCTTTACCTCTGAGCCACCAGGGAAACCCCTTATTGCTATTAGGCATGTACATTCTATGATTCATTGAGGGAAAGGATGTTGGTAGATCTCTAGTGGGAAGGAGATTTCCAAACTGCCTTAATGGGTTCCGCAGACTATTAATACAAACAGGAACTGCCTGAGAAGCACCATCTCCTGCTTTGGTCTGATTCTGCTTCCCTTCCTGAATTGAGATATTTCAGTCTGTCCATGGTCTTCTGGATTCTCCTTTCCCTAAAGCCTTAAAAAAAAAAAAAAAAACAACTCCATGGTTTCATTTGCCTTCCAGATGGCTTCCTAACCCTTGCCAGACTTTGTGTAGGTTTCTGATATTCCTGGGAACTTTATACTCATTGGTTGGCAGCATCAAATGAAAGCTATTAATGTAAAATCAAATGCAGACAAGAGTCCTGTTAGAAACCCTGTCTAACTTATCAGTTAAAACGTTCTACACACACACACACACTGATCCTGCCTTTTTGTAGGCTAAACTTATTTTTAGTTACCACCTTTATTCAGAGATAGAAGCCTAGCAACCCTCCTGTTGTCTCTGGAACTTTGGGAGCACATGGGTTAATGTTTCAGTATCAGTGAGATTCATACTGGCTGGCCTTTGCAACTGATAGATGTTTTACTTTGGCCTTATAAAGACATTTTACCCGCTGGAAACCCTTGTCGCATGACAGGATCAAAAATAGCCCGGCTGCAGCCCCTGCTGTCCATCACCACATGTAAACTGGCATGAGTGAGGCTCTCTTATCCATGTCTGCACATCGTGGACACGGCAGCCTCCAGGGACAGTGTTTCATAAAGCCACACCTGTCGCTGTGAGCAAGTCAGTCACCTGACCTGCAGAGAAGTTCTGAGTGTGTGCCATGACCATGCGTCTGGTTTCTGACAAGCAATTAAGAACATCTCTAAGTGTCCTCAGAAACACTTGATGACGTCGTTTCTTCTGGCACTGGGAAAGATCTACAAGTCTAGTAAAATCGAGTGTATTTTTATCATTGGGGTCAAAGTTCATTACCCTCTGTGATAAATTCATCTTTTCCATGGATTTTCCTTAATGAGTGCTTTCAGTAGAACTCTGAAAAGGCAAAGCAAAGTTTATGTTTTTTAAAATCTTAATGTTCAGTTTTCTGTTTTGAGTTCTTCAAAATTTGAAAATTGTCACTTGTGCTTGTACTTCTTATATGTTGCTTTTGGCAACAAGCAGATGGCATTATGGTGTCATATTTTTAGAAATACAGAGGGTTTTGATGGAGATTATTCTAAAGAAAGATGAAAATAAATCAGGTATTCATGGTAGTGTTTTAACTGAGCCATTATGAATGGCAAGAGTGAGAATTGAGATGCATGGGTTTCAAAAATACCTCTTGTGAATTTTTTTTAACAACATTAACTTTTAAGTAAGGCCATTGGAGTGTGTTTTGTATGTGACCTCTGAATGTGTAATTTTAAAAGGTACTTAATTTTGTTTCATGTTAACTTTTATAGGATAATACACCATGATAGAATCGATTTGTATAAAATATCTAGCAGTAGGGAAGATTTAAAACAGATATGCTAAGAAATCTGTTTCTGTTGAGTTTGAAGGTGAAACAAGAGTTATTAGATGCCAAAAAAAAAAAAAAGTTTCCTTAGTCTTACTATTGTAACCCTATTAAGTTGATATTAATCTGAGAAATATTTAGTTTGTGTTTCCCTGTCCCTACCTTTTCCTTCAACCTCATCATTTCCCCCAAAACCCCTTCTGTCTGTCTTGCATAGAGATAAACAAGCTGGCTGACCTTCGGTTGCCTGATAGTCAAACAGGTTTGATTGACCCTTGTGTCTTTATGAATTTAATGGAGAAAAAGAGAGAAAGAAAGACCAAAAGTGTGCTGCACATTCTTTTTGGGAATCACTGCCATGAATGTTAATAGCATTTCTGTAGCTTTTCCCACAACAGCCTCTTGTGATAGTGAGCTGCACTACAGTTCGTTTGAAAAAGTGTGATTCTGCTGTGTTTACCACACTTGTGAACTTTTAAATTCCTTTTTTTTATTTTGTCGCCTGCTTCTTTTTTTTATTATCATTATCTTTAATAAGGGTGACTGAGGTTGCAGAGAGATTAATGTGTGCTGAGTCTGCATAGCAATTTCCAGTAGGGTTGCCATGATAATAAACAGACAGATTTTTGTGGAAATTGATTGTCCTTGTGAGAAACCGGCCATCACCCTTACGGAACTGAACAATCACGGATTCCCTTTGGAGTCCTCTGTTCACACTTAAGAAACTTTCCATTGGCTGAACCGTTTTTGTTGTACGAAGTCATCACAAAATTTTCTGAAGTTGTAATTTAGCACTTAGGAAATAACCTCCTCTGTGCGAGGCCCTCCTGAACCGTGATTTCTTTTTTTCCCCAAAACTTTGGTTCCATGGTTATTTCTTGGTTCCAAAATGATCCTGAATAAAAAGTTCCAGCAGGGAGGGTATCCTATTTTCCTTGTTGAATTCTTTCTGGGGCACTCCACGATCTGGGCTCCGGCCAGACTCCTTTCGCCGATGACTGGCAAGTCGATATTGTGGCAACCCTATGCTCATAATAACCACTAAATTGGAGTTTGTCTGATCTCGGAAGAAGCCAGGCTCAACCCAGGAGGCCACTCCTGCCTGACTTTTTTCTTTTTCTTTCCCATTTCTCAACAGGATACCTGCACACTATGTCTATCCGCAGGCTTTTGTGCAGCCTGGCGTGGTCATCCCCCACGTCCAGCCCACCGCCGCGGCCGCCTCCACCGCACCTTACATCGACTACACGGGAGCCGCGTACGCACAGTACTCGGCGGCCGCCGCCGCCGCCGCCGCCGCCGCCGCCTACGACCAGTACCCGTACGCAGCCTCCCCGGCCGCCGCGGGCTACGTCACGGCCGGGGGCTACGGCTACGCGGTGCAGCAGCCAATCACCGCCGCCGCACCTGGGACCGCGGCCGCCGCCGCCGCCGCCGCCTTCGGCCAGTACCAGCCTCAGCAGCTGCAAACAGACCGGATGCAATAGGCCCGTAGCCCCTGAACAAAGTCTAGTTGCTTTCTCTTTCCAAAATGTCCCAGTTTTCAGTAGCTAATGAGAGTTAACATTGACTTAACAGATTTAAAAAAAAAAAAAAGCTATGCTATTGTGAAGCAGAATTATGATTTTTTTTTATATACTCCAGTAGTCATTCTAGACGTGCAAAAGAAGGAAGGGGAGTGGGCGCAGTTTTTGGAAATCAATCCCAAAGAGCCTGAGTAAATACAAGGCCGCGATGAAATGGTGGCAGGAGAAAACCATGGAACTTCACTTTTATAATGGGATTTTTACTTTTGCTCTTTTTATAGTATCAGGGAAGCAAACTGCCTTTTACAGTTAGAAAATGCTATTTGAATCTAGTTGAACCAGGGAATACAGAGTGAGCAATATGTAGCTTGAATTACATTGAAAAGCAGATTTAAAAAAAAAAAAATGGTGAAAGCACTGATTGTCATTTTTAGCCGTCACTATGGCCTAGAGAACTTTTCTCAAGTAGGAAGGTGATGTTCTTACTCTCTCAAAAAAAAAAAAAAGGGCATCGAACAATCAATCTAGGAGCGTGGCAGTGGGTGAAGTGGTGGACAGGCACCAAAGCTATTTTCTCATCCACCCAGTGGATGAGTGGGACTGTGAAACAGGTGATGTGGAATGAATGGGCGCAACAGCTGTACAGACAATCAATAACACACACAGTTCTGGAAAGAACACATCACTTGTGCTTGTTTGATGAGCTTGTCACATTCTAATCCCTCTCCCCATCCTGTTTCAATTTTGGGAAACTTGTATCTGCTGGTGTCAGCAATTCTGATTCTGAAATAGGATCAGGCTTTTACTACATACAACCGCCTTCTCTTTCTATTTATTGTGTCGACTCGTGGCTTATGATTAAAGGCAGGCAAAGTTTGCAGACTCTAAACCCTTAAGAGCTGTCTTAAGGACATTTATTTTTTTCCCTTTTTAAGTAATTTTACACTTTTTAGTATCTATTTCAGAGTCATATTTAAAACTATTTATTAGTGAATGCCGTACATGAGACACCAAGGTTACCGAGATGACAGTTCTTCAATGGTTAATGATAATGTGGTTTATACTGTGCCTTAATAGTAATGCTATTTAAGATATTTATTTTTAAGTTTTACTATGCTGCACTCTAAAGAAAGGAACTTTAGATGTGACACTGTAAAATTATGTATTCATCTCATGGCATAAATTATTTAGTAGGTCTAGATGTAGCATATTAAATATTAACCTATTCAACTAAAGATGTTGACTTGGATTTATTTAAATTCATATGTGCACTGTATAAGAGAATACTCTTACATTAACACATTTTAGTTTATTTTAGTTTTTAGGTTTTTTTTTTAACAGGATCTATTGCTAGTTTCATGCTTCCTTCTCTGATTTTGCTCATGCAGCTCTCATTTACTGATACTTCATTAGTTTAACACTTCTTATGTAGTTTTTAAATGCTGCTTTACATTTTTCTTCTGAAACTGCAATACTTGCAATTTTTATTCTTAAACTAAATTGAATACTATTTTACACTGTATTGGATTTTTATACTTGAACAATTTCATACAAGGGAAGACAGGTTAGCATTTTTATGGACTTTCTCCATTATCACTGGATTTAAGTATTCCCATACTAGACAGTGTTATGTAATGTAGACATGACTCTCCTGTGCAAATTATTTATTCATTGTGTATATTGCTTTATAACATTTCAGATCTTCTAATCTATTCACTTGTATTAAATTTAATTTTTAACAACTTCTGTTGCATTGATTGTTTCTCCTTTTGTGGTAAAAGTGGAATGATGTCTCTCTTTAATTAGAACTAATGGTGTGATTTCCAGGTAGCATTTTCAGTGAGCAGAAAGCTTCCCAGATGCCTTCTTTTTATACTTTTAAAGTAAATTTCATTAATTCAGTATCTGCCTTACATTTAGCACATGATATAGGTCTTTCCCTATAAACGACATTCATGTCACTGGAACTTGGTTACTTGAAGGTTGTTTGGAAGGAGAGGGCTATAATGGGAATGGTCAGCTCAGAGCTGCAGTGATGCTGGGCTCAGATAAACTTAGGTTTGGTACTAATCTCTAACCATGTACTGGCAATGTGACTAAAACACATTGCTTTTTGTAGTCCACTTTTGGGGTGAGGATTTTATTGATTTCTCATATATAATTTTAGGACAGAAATACCTATCTTACATGGTTATTTTAAGTATTAAAGTATATCAACTATTGGGTAAAAAGTTCATTTGGGGTTTTCTATAAGATGTTATGGAAAAACCCAAACTTTCTGGCAAACTCTATACTTGGCACAGAGTCAAATGCATTACTATTTATCTAGAGAAATGATTACTGTCAACAGTTTCTGTAATGTCCTATAACAAAAGCTAACCAAAGAGGAAATCACCTCTTGGAATGTTTATATTTTTAAATTTTTGTCCACAGTGATGTGGCCATGACTGTCATATTGCCTTAAAGTATACATGTTACATTAGTTATGGAATGGATTGTCTGCTGGTCCCTAGGTCTTAATGTTTTCCAAATCCATGATATAATATCTTTTATTGAATTCCATTAGTTTTTGAAAATTATAAAGTTATAACAGATTCCAGCATGCTTTCTACTTGATGATAACTATCATCCTATTTAGAGCCACCACAATCTTCAACCTTAATTGCCTTTAAGTTTCAAAGAAAATTAGACACCACCAAACACCTTGGGAGAGATTGTATTGCACCTCAAGGTATTATCTTGGATCAGTAAAATAATTTCTAAACTACTTAGTTCAGTCCATGCATCAGTGATCATTATACTCCAAAAGACAAGCTCTACATTTAATGTTTCAGATTTATGAAAAGTCACTTGTGCCCTCTATAAGTCATGTGTTTATTGCTGAGCTTTAAAATGAAACATTTGATTTATCAATTAAAAATAGGTCAGATGATTCTGGGAAAAGCTTGTCAGAAATAGCCATACTCAGGGAAGCCAGAAGTTCATGTACACCTGACTACACCTTGGAGGTATTTACTGATCTATATAAATGTCAATATTAGCAGTTACAGAGAGGACAAGATTTTTACTTAATAATGCTAGAGCACATATTTCTAAAAGTAAGTAAAAGTTCTTAATTTCTAATAAAGAGGGGGGCGTAGCCATGACACAAGTTCTCCATTGGTCAGTTACATTTGTAGAGTTAGAGAACACGATGATCTGAGATTCAAAGAGCTGGATGAGTCCTCTTTTCTTTACTTACCAGCAGGGTGATCGTGTACCCCTCTATGCTGGTAACCTATAAACCGATTGTATCTAACATGTTGCTTTGTTAATCTCTCAGGTCGTACTGATCAAATGAATTAACTGATATGAGAGCATTTTAGAAATTTTGAATGTTAGGCAAATGGAAGTTATACTGTGGTAATACACACAATATTAATTTGGAAATAGACCTCCGTTGTCTTCTATGAAATGACTCTTCCAAAAGAGGGCAAAATCATTATTTCATGGTGTTATTTTTCCTTTTCCTGACCAAGTCGCAGCTAAACTTGCTGTGCAGTGTGAGTGGCACAAAAATCACATTGAAAGATGGAGGGATTGCTCAAGGGAAGGAAGGGAAGATGAAAAGATTATGGAATATATTTCTCTCACAGGGAACTATATTTTTAGCTTCTTCTTCACTCCTGTCAAATATTGTTCTTAATTCCCTCTGAGGCTTGAAAGTGTTTATTAAGATGACAGTCTGAAGTTTACAGAGGCAGAGGTGAAGAGGAACCAAGAAAATAAGTAAATGCATTTTTATGCTTTTGTGCTCTTTTTTTCCTTCAAAAGTTCCAGGTTGTTTCCATGGAAATTCTAACTTCGCTTTGCTTAAGCACTTCATACAGAAGAGGTTTCATTTTGGATATCTGGTCCAAGTTGAATTTTATAAGTACAATAATGACTTTAGATAAGTCATTTACATTCCAGACTTTGAAATCCCAATCACAAATCAAAATGAGAAAGAAATTAGACAATACATATATAAGCACTTTAGAAATTTTAAATACAAAGGATTTTCAGCTTTGATATCATGTATTTATTCTGTCTCAAAATTGCACAGTATCTGGTAATTCTTGACCAACTTCTTCAGAAAGAAAGTCTATAAAGTACCCTTCTTGGAAAGTCTATAAAGTAACCTTCTTGGACTTCTCTGGTGGTCCATTAACCAATGGAGAATGCAAGAATCCAGCTGCCAAAGCAAGGGACACAGGTTTGATTCCTGGCGCAGGAAGATTCCAAATGCCGCAGGATAACTAAGCCCAAGCACCACAACCACTGAAGCCTGTGGACCTCAGAGCCTGTGCTCTGCAATAAGAGAAGCCACTGCAATGAGAAGCCCAGGCATTGCAATTAGAGAGTAGCTCAGTCTCTGTCGGAGAAGGCACTGGCACCCCACTCCAGTACTCTTGCCTGGAAAATCCCATGGACGGAGGAGCCTGGTAGGCTGCAGTCCATGGGGTCGCTAGGAGTCGGGCACGACTGAGCGACTTCACTTTCACTTTTCACTTTCATGCATTGGATAAGGAAATGGCAACCCACTCCAGTGTTCTTGCCTGGAGAATCCCAGGGACGGCGGAGCCTGGTGGGCTGCCGTCTATGGGGTCACACAGAGTCGGACACGACTGAAGCGACTTAGCAGCAGCAGCAGCAGTCTCTCTGTAACTAGAGAAAGCCCACAGGCAGCAATGAAGACCCAGCACAGCCAAAAATTAAATACAGTACCCTTCTTTCCAGTTACTTGTCTCTTGGGAGATGAATGTAATAGCTTTTTAAAATCCAAGATACTACCTCTAAGCCATCAATATGCTATCAATATACTTTAAGTGAGTTGGAGTGCATGCATTGTTTTTCCTGTTTCCACTCTCAGAGGTCATTCTGATTACATCATAGCAGGGATTGAGTAGCAATCGTTATATCTTTTCATTTAATAGCTCAGA